GACACTGCTTTGAAGAGAATACATTTCTACTTTTTGGCAGGGAAATTCTATTTGGAAGATATTTTCCTATTACTCCCTTTTTATTAAACCACTTTAATACAGGTTCACTATAATAGAGTACCTGACACACAGAAAGTATTCAAATTAATAAACACTTACATATGTTATCAAAAGCCTTTCTAACGTTTATAATTGATGCAGCGATTCTCTCTCTAGTTAAGGAGGTAACTGGACGTACAGACATATTTATCATATTCATATTTATCAAAAGCCTTATTAGCTAAAAACACAATGTAAATATCCAGCCACAAAGGACTCTTTAAACAAATTACAGTACAGCCACATATTGACTAGCATGAAGCTGTTAAAAATCATGATGCCAGTCAGCATGTGGAAAGTCATCCATAATTACATACAAAGTGACAACAGGTTACAGTCCCCATGCATGATATCATTCCATTTCATATTTATATGTTTATGTCTATATACATTAGCAAGAGATACATCCCAAAACGGTGATGTCAGTTATTTCTAGGGTAGCATATCTGGCTAACTTTTTCTCTTTGCTTATTTGTAGTTTTTCCATTTAGTCTAAAGTAAATCTGAATTACTGTGCAACAAAAATGAAGAGAAGGGGGAAAACAGTAATTTCTAAATAGACTGTTTAGCCACCCAAAGCTCTATATGTTTATAATGCTGACTTCTAAAGACCAAGATACATATTACTCATGTATCATGGTTTTGAGCTAAAGCGGAAGTTTCAAACATTTCAAGTTTAATTCTCTCCTTTGCAGATGAGGAAACTGAGACCCAGAGAAGTAGAGGGCCTTTCTTACCATCAAATATCTAGTAAGTTAGAAAAGCCAGACCATGACGTGCCCCACCAGTTTTTGTAACTTCTACACAGATGTTTATATAAACAAAGGGAAGGAAAAGAATGAACAAAAACTAACAGAACCAGTATGCCCTACTGGCCTCAAAAGAGAACTTAGATCTAATTTTAGCCAACTCCTCAAATTCTAAGCTTACATACTTCTAGAAAAGAATGAGACTAGAAATAATACTGGAATCCATATGAGATGGCTCTGACTCCTGGCCTCCCTGCGAGCTGTGCTCCAGCTCATGAGCTCACGTCATCATCTTGGAGGAGCCTGCAAGGCCACAGTGAGGACAGGAACACTGCCTGCTGGTCTCCCTTCAGCACACACTCTGGACGGCTCACAGGGCTGGATACTTCACCTTCTGGCTATATTTAAGATCACTTTAAAACCCAGACTCTTAATTTTTCTCAGAGAAAGTCAAGGAAATCCTTCACTCTTCCACAATGGCTTGGTGCAATAAAAAAAAGAGAGCAAAGGTACAAACCGAAGAAAAAACAAAGCGGCTAACAGAGTTATGAATAAATTCCTTGACTCTTTATAAGAAATCTAGAAAAAATAAAGACAGGAAAGGACTTAGGATAAGAAGAAGAAACGGGAGTGCCCCCTGGGTACACAGGTGTGCAGATGAATGTTAGTGAGGGATTAGAGGGGCTTGGAAAGATCTAAAGCAATAGCCTTTTCCTACAAAAAATGTAAAACAGTTCCCAAACACATTAGAATTAGCTCCGTCACCAAAGAACCTCTGGCTGAACTTAACAGTAGAAGTCTCCCAAATTCCAACGGTTAAAAATTTCAAAGTTTGGTTTTCAAATGAGATTTCCCCATTTCAAGCAGAAGCAGACTGTACGTTGTGATGCTTACCTGAAATGTTAGCAAATTTTGCTGATCCATTAAAAAAAGAAAGAAGACTGAACCACACGGAGCTTTTAGGAAGGATAAAGCTACTCCGGGGGCGGGGAGCAGTGGCATTCCTTTGCCACGCTGGAGCCGCATATTAGAAGAACTAATCAGACTGGTATCAGGAGAATAACTGGAAGCCCCAGCTCCTTACCTCCGACTGAATGACCACACATACAACAGTGTGGGCACTCCACAGTTGAAACCATCCACCCAAAGAGTGGGGTCCATCTGCAGCTCTCTGCAGAGAGCATCCCAGGTGCCAGAGTCCACAGCCCTGGGAGGCCTTTGGCTGTGCCTTTGGAGAGCTATGCAGTCGGACTCTGAAACTACTGAGAACCCTAGTCAGATGGCATATTTTAAATTAAGCACCAAATCCAACTTATTTGTAAGTGGCACTAACCTCGGAATCCATTCCTTGCATTTCGTTCTTCTCAAGCTGAAACTGCACAAAATCATCGATGACGTGGAAGAGCTCGGGAGATACGGCTTTAAAGTACTTGTGGTAGTCATACTTCACAGCCAACGATGCAAAGATGGTGTTATTGACCAGAGCAGACCGCAGGTCAGTCAGGACCCCTGGGGAGTGCTGCCGCGGGTCTTCATAAAGGTGCTTGGTTATGAGGTAGTCCAAAATCGCATCTCCCAGGAATTCTAAGCGCTGGTAACAATCTGGGAGAGGGTCCAAAGTGGAGCCATGAGCTTGCATGCCATTTATACTGCTTACTCGCCTGTGACTGACACGAAGCTCGCAGCCCAAAACCCACTTAAAATACTGGATCCGTTTTCATATACAGTCCTTAAGGACAGCATGATTTAACAAATCATACTTTTTGTCATAATTATTTGACAAAGCCTCTGGAAATTAAATTTTAATGGCAGAGTAAGCACATTTCTTATATAGAAATGGGGGTCATAAAATCTTTTAAGTAGCCAAGAGAGCAATGCTTGTCAAGAAACACCATTTCCCAGATGATATCATTATCACTGAGCCCTTTCCTCTGGCGCTGTGCTGCCCAGGCAGTTGCTCAGGCACTCCGCTAAATTGCCACCATGTCATCGCGCCAGCACAACCAGATCCCGCACACACACTCCCCATGCGCCACGCTCTGCTGCCATCATTACGTGTTGTCTCGCTCACGCTCTGGAATGTAATACCATTCCTCATCACTCCTGGGTTACATGTTATACAGGACGACAGTTAGGAAAGGAAACCCCCCCCCTTCTCAACTTGAGCTAGAAAGGCTGAATTTGACACGATACCAAGAGACTGAGAAAGAAGAGCTGTGGAAGTGAGCAAAGACCTTAGCAGAAATGACGGCCAAAATGGGAAGGTAGCAGGGCTAACTAACCAACACCTCTATTTTCTCACAGTGATTTAACAAGAATCCGTTCAGCTGAGGAAACTGAGGCAGGAAGAGATGAACACCCAGAGAGATAGGAGGCAGGGGCTGAGACAGCCTAGAACCACTGAACTGGTCTCAGAACCGCCAGGACAGTGTATTAGAAAACCACGTATCACTGCTTCTCCTCAAAGAAAAATGGTCTGTAGTTTCATGTCTTTCTAGTGCAGAGTCAGATAATTTTTGGCTTTTACATTTTCCTGATCATCTTAACCTGAATCGTTTTCATTATACCAACTTGGAAGCACTAAGTAAAACTTCCTACTTTGCTTTTGGATTCTGGATTTAGGCACTTATTACTTTGATACAGAAAACAAAAATACAGACTTTAGCTATGCTTCACACACCAAAGCTGAATTTGGTTTTCCAGGTCTATTCTCCCTTCTAATCCAGTGGGGTCAGGAACCTATCAAACGAAGGAGTGAAAAAACACAGCGACCGGAGAGGATGCCAGACAGCCGAGTCAGAGCAAAAGCAACAAGACCTGCCCGTGAAAGCTTCTTTTACTTGTCATCTTAGATTCAAACACCCCCGAAGAGAAGGGCCTTTTGGCCCACAAGAACCATAAAAGGGTGTGGAAATGCATGCAGAGTATAGGGAGAAATGGAGACCCCCAAAGCAGCGCTGAATGGGCACGAGAGAGACATCTGGACAGGAGGATCAAATGGGAAAGGAAAACACACCACCACCCTAAGGCTCACATGAAGGATACAACATGACGTGATGCCAAGGACCGTGAAACCTGCGAAGCCAGAACCTGTGTAAGGCGGAAACCTGTCAGAGAAGGAACACCCAAAGGTTTCCCACTAACAGAGAGCAGCAGAAAAGTGGTAAGACTGCACCTTGTCAAAGGCGGAAAATTTGCAAGACCCGGAAAAACAAGGCAGTCCCAGTGAGTTCCGGCTCTCACAGGTTCCACTGAATGTAAGACAGCTATACTCCCAACTATCAAAGTTAAGGAGTTCTTGCTCCCCAAAAGATGAGGAAGATACAGCATTGTTTCTTGGTTCTTCTGTGCCCTCCCCACCACGCAAATTAAGCACCAAGCGTTTACATGCATAGATCATTTTCCACAAGGCCGAAAGGACGCGTTTACCACAGGTCTCCTTTCCAAAGAAGTGAGGCTGGTCCTGGGCTCCTTACCAGTAATAGTGTTGTAGTGGTAGGAGGCATGAGTAAATGCCTGCAGAAGGTAAGCCTTATTCTTGAAACTGTAGTTGATTTTCTGTTCAAAATTTTCAAAACCCGATATAAGGTGATTCAGTGTTTTATCTGCATCTGGATGATCAAACATACACCGTGGTGGGATCTTCAAACAACCATATTCCAGGTCTTTAAATACAGGAGAGCGCGAACTGGCCACCGAAGCAACAGCACAGCTCACTGAAAGGTTCTTTTGTTGGCTGCTGAAATTCTCCCTAGCAGAGCGTACGGCATTTTCCCGATCAGTCCTTTTAATGACCGGGAGCACCTTCAGCCCCAAGGAGCAGAGGAAAAGCTGAGCGGCCCTCTCACCACAGCTGGTTAAATAGCAGCCCAGCAGGGCTTCCACACAGTCCGCTATGCTTTTGTCTGCAATGCACTGCTCGGTGTGCAGGTCGTAAGAAATGGACTGCTTCCCAGTGTCAACACCACAGTTTTCTTCTGATGGATTCCAGAACCCCACCACAAAGTCATCCTCTTCAACAGCTTTGCTAGGATCCAGATAGCACATTGCATCCCACGAGCTATAGTCAAAATCCTCCAAGTCTGATGCGAACGGCATACTACCTAAGGGGGAGTTTTTGGGCATCTTCCACTCATACGCAGAATCAGTGGTTGAAAAAGGAGAAAGAGAAATTTTCTTTACAAAAGCTCCTGATCCCATTAACATGTTATCTATAAATTTGATATGTTCCTGATCGTACTCCAGGAAGTCATCTTCATAATCGGCCTCCTCCTTGGGAGACCTCCACATCAGGTCCTCCTCTTCCTCCTCCTCCTCCTCCTCCTCCTCCTCATAGTCATCCTCCAGTTTGCCATTAGCCAACACGCAGTCTTTTGTCTGCAATGAGGGGGAATGGGAAGGAGGGGAGACATAAATGCTGTTTTTAAAAGGGTTTGAAACGCAGTAAAAGTGAGGGTTAGGGATAATTTCAAATGACAACCACAAATACTAAAAGGCAACCTTTAAAATCACAGCCATTTGTTTTCAATTAACATAAATAAGTTATTTAATCATATAAACAAAGTAAAACAAGCTCTTTGAATGTTCATTTTCTAAGTTATAAAATGACCTTTATCCACTATGAAGCTTTAAGTTAGGGATTTGGTGCATGGATATAAAGTTAAAATAATGCCCACAATGCAAAACTCAGGCTAAGAGTTCTAACTCTGGCAGGACAAACACTTAAAGTGCTCATACTCCAATCACAGAGATCTTCAATTTCACTGACAAAGCTGACAATGTGGTGACCTAATTTCTTAAAAAGATTTTCAAATTAATAAAATGGAATTCCAGACGTAGGAAAAGCATTCTCTTTGCAATTAAGAGTAAAATATGAAAACAGATAAAATTATTTTAAAACCTTCATTTAACATTAAAAAATATACAATAATGTTTTATAATAAAGTTTTATCCATATTTCCACTTTAAAGTACATTTGCTACAATGTAAAACTAAATGGCTTTGTTTGAAAAATAAAAGCAATCACTGAGCTAAGCTATGAATCTGAGAAATTATGCTTTTCCCCTCTACACTGAGCTCAGTAATGAGGGTAACAGATTATAGCCTAACTGACAAAAATAGAAGAAAATTTAGACTAACATGAAACACAACAACCCAATTTCTGTCAGAAGATCTTTGCTAATTCCAATTTCTTTGGCAACAGCTTATTTGTGAATGACAACCTTAATAACAGGCTAGGATCAGTAATGCTGTGACTTTTTTGCTATGCTAGAAAGATGCCAAATTTCTGCTGTGCAAAAAAAAAAAAAAAAACCTACTTTGGAGAGAAAGGTTGGGGGGTGGGCTTCAATTTTGATTTCAACAACTTTCCAGAATATTCTGACAAAAAGTCTTCAAATTTCTGTCAAGCATTTTTTAAATACTGCAAATACTTCGTTAAACTAGACTCGAAAAAGTTAGTGTATTTGTTTGAAAAGAAATATTGCAGTGAGCCAACCCATGTACTATATCCCTTTACATTTTTTTAAATAAAAAATTTTATAAAATCTTTTCAAGAACAAGGAAGAGCACCAAAAGACAGATCTCCAAGGGCACTCCAAGAACTGAAAAACATCTCTGGTATCACTTTGCCCTGTCCCTGCTCTGGAGAATGGCAAATCACCCGTCCTAGTGAGACTTAGCTCATTCTTTTTAGACAAACAAGCTGGGGAATAAATAAATACAATTTAAAAAAAAATAATAATTCCTGAACATAGAACTCCATTAGTATTCACAGATCGAACAAAGCATTTCCTGCTAAAAAACTTATACTTTTTCAAGGTACGATGAGATACTTTTGACCACTGTTTGGTCCTTAAGACCAAAAAAAGACCAAACTGCAATTTAAAAAAAAAAAAAAAAAGGACTGCATAATTTTTCAAAAAAAAATTGTTTATAATACGTTTAGTAAATGTAGCCAATAAGCTAAAATTGCCAGAGTACAAAAACCAACCAACAAACAATAAGGACTGGGCTTTCTCACCGAGAAGGTGTGTGATCGTGGGCAAAGTCCTTCAAGGCCTCTCGTTTCCGTTTCTCCATCTGCAGAATACAGGGTCCTCCGACCTTACTAAAGGGCTCCCAAGAGCACTTTGAGCTCTTTGGAAAAAAAAAACCATCGCACGTACCCTTTTCTCTGACCTTCCACTCAGCCTTTCTACCAGAATTCTGAGAGAATTGTCTTCTCCAAGGCATTCCTAAGCAAAGCTTTCACTCGCACCTATTTGCTGAGGGGCAGAAGCGAGGTGGACAGACAGGAATGGAACAAGCCAAAAACACACAGCATTCTTTCCGATACAATGGAAGGGCCTATTTCAACATAAGCCTAAATTATTAAATGAAACCCTGAAGAGGATTTTTAATGTACTGCAAGAACCAAAGTGCCAAGTCATCAGAAATGCTAAGAAAATAACTCTGTGTTGTATCTTTAAAAAAAAAAAATCAAAATGACACACCAATGTCACCTTTAAGCTACAATTAATGACAACGAAAAAAAAGTGCCAAATGTACTCTGAAAAAATATTTACAACACAGGATAGTTGTTACTGGAATGTTTTTGTAAAAATGCATCATTTTCTCTAATGCTCTCAAAACCTGTACATTTTTCTTTAAGGTTTATCTATTTCTAAGTTTCTTCCAAGTATAATTATTTCCAACACAATCAGCAAAAAATACCATCTTACTGTTTTTCCAGCAAAGTTCAATTTCTGTAATAAGCCAAATACTACATGAGCTAAAAATATATTCAGTAACTACGTAAAAATCAGAATACAGGCGCAGAGTACGCCACTGGGAATATTCAAGGCAGCGATCTAGGCTACACACGCTATAAAACAAGAACACATGAAGGGAACGCACGTTTAGAAAACATAATGTGCGAGAGAAACGGCACTACCATTGTTGGCCTGAAGTAACAGTAAAGTAACAACGTGCCAGTTTATCACTAATGCAGAATAAATCTCCAGGAAATGAAACTGTGACTTTAGCTTTAGAAAGAGGCGCTGGAGTTTCTCCCAGACAACCACCACCGAACTGCTTTTACTGCTAGGGGGGTCCTCCCAGGTGCCCTCTGGTGGCCTTCAAGACAAGACAAAGCCAAGCAGCTGCTGCTAATATTTGGAGTTTTTAGAAGTCACTGGCAAGATTTAAATTATTTCCAGAAAACTACAACCTTTATTTACACAAGAGGAGAAACAGTCCTAACCAAGAAAACCCTGAGCTGCAAAAGCAAGGTTTCGCTGAAATGAATTACTTCACACACAGACTAGAGATCAGGAGTCACTGAAAAGTCCTTTCACTGAACAGAGCTAAGCATCTATGATAAACTGTAATTACATAACAGCAAAGTGAAACAAATGTTATGGGGTTTTATTCTTCTACATTTGGAAAAGGGAAATAATACAAACAGAAATCCTCCTCCAACAAAATTACAACACTGGTTCTAAATTCAATGAAAAGCCAGTCCATTTAAAGGAATTAATGAAGGGTATGGAATATCTAACTCTATTGTACACACGCCAAACAAAATTCTTTCCCTCACCAAAATAATAAATATTTTTAAAGTATTAAGAAAGGCTTCCAGTTACCACAAACTTACCATTTCATCTTTTTCCCATTTGTCTGTGTTACTTTTGTCTTGATTTACTACATAACCAGGGGGAAGCCAATTGACAGGGGGATCGAATATTGACACCACCATGCGGCTGGGCAGTCCCTTCTTTTTTCCAAGGCGATACAGATTACAGTTGCTGACCTTTAGCAGAAAATATTTATAAAACGCTTATCCATGATGATCATTGCTGGAATTCATACAAACCATGTTAGCATATCCTTAGCTAAATGTTCTTCATACAACTAGTCAACAGTTACCAGGGTTATACAGTTCTTCTATTCATGATAGAAAAAGAATATTAAATTCCCGAGTCTTCTGTATCCTGTAGTGTAGTTATATGAAGATTTCTGAATATAAAATGCAGATCACAAAAAACTGATGTATATAAATATGCATATTTCTTATAAATGAGTCTGAAGAAACAGACAATTTCGAACTTTTGAAGCACAACCTGATAGCATAAAATGCTAATTGGGACTATCACAATAGAAAAGACTCCATATAAAAAGTCAAGATGTCAGAATATTCTAGGTGAAATAAAGAAGAAAAAAAAAAGCCACAAACTCTAGCTATAAAGTGAAAATTGGCACTGAATACAGCTAAAAAATTTTAAATTCCTAGAATCCAAGCCACAAATGTGATTTCAATTGTAAAGTTCTCCCAAATATTATTCTTTTGTTTTGGATGATAGTTCAAGATATTTTCGTTCAACCATTTTAAAATGGTTTAAAAAGTAATAAAGAATACCTCTGTTTGTTCTACATCAATAAAACAGTTTTATTTTCTACTCTCTGGTCTGTGTGTTTCTCCTAATGCCTCTAGCTTCTCTCTAATTTGCTCAAATCATCGCACTTCTGTCTAGTTTGTACTTGGAAACTCAGGTCTAGAATTGTCAACCTCACATTCATTTCCTAAAAACTGGGTTCCTTCTTACTGAAGACTCTGTGAGCCCTTTCCCATGTACCTCAACCACTACTTAACAAGCACCCACCATGTGAATTGCACTCGGTCAGGCGCCCCAAAGAGAACAAAGTCAGCAAGACAGAGTAGCAGCCCTGGCGAACCACCAAGCTGGCAGGGAAGCGGCGTCTACATATCATACTCGCTGTGCGCCAAAGTGCTCTCCCACGCTGCCTGAAACACAACTGGCTTGCATAATGCTAGCTTCCTTTTCCAGACTATGCGAACAAAGTATTGCAGATGCCAACGAAGGGAGAAAGTGTGGAATCAAAAGAGAGATCGCATTCAAAGTAGACAGAAAAGGTTGGCAGGATGGGAAGGAGACAAAGCGCCAAGTAAGGACTCAAGGACAGGCAGCATTCAACAAGTGGCAACGGGGACAGCATCCTGTGAGAAGGGACATCAGCAGAGGAGGTGGCCGGCACCGGTCTGCTCACCTGGTTGGGAGAGAAGCGCCATGTGGGGTGGGAGGGCACAAGCTAAAGGGCCACCAATGCAGGCTGAGGGAGCTACAATTAGTTCTGCAGGAAATGAGGAGTCACAGGTTTTTGAGCAGAAAGAATGGATGGGTTTTTGTAGTATAAAATAACTCCTTCCTTACCCAATAAAACCAAACCACGCCCACCGCCATCGAGCCGATTCAGACTCACAGTGACCCTACTGTCGTTGTCAGGTGCTGCCGAGTCGACGCCGACTCACAGCGACCCTACAGGACAGAGCAGAACTGCCCCGTAGGGTTTCCGAGGAGTGGCTAGTGGATTCAGATCGCTGACTGTTTGGTTAGCAGCCAAGCTCTTAACCACTGTACCTCCAGGGCTCCAAAGGGAATACTATTTCTTACTTTATACTCACTCTCAGCCTCTAATATTTTCTTCCCACAACCATGCCTTGGCAATCTCATTTGCTCTCAGAGTTTCAATTATCACCTTTAAAGAGACTATTCCCAAACTGTATCTGAGTCCTAAATTTTCAATTTCCTGAATATTTCACTGAACATTTCCACTTCACAGTCTACAAGGTCTAAAAACCCTCACCCTGACTTCCTACGTTTCCATCCACCCGCCCGCCGCTGCCCCCAAGCACATCTCTGTCTCAAACCACACTGGGAGGCGGCAGGAGAGGAAGGCCTTATCCTCAGACATACTTCTGACTCTGCCCAGACTAGCTAGATCCCTTACATGAGACCACTCAACTCCCATCTACAAAACCGGGATGAGAAATATCTAGCCCTCAAAGGCTCACTGAGAAGATGGCTGTAAAATGCTCAGGAGAGGGCCGGCCTGAAAGAGTAATATGGAAGCAGGTCAGCGTAACGGTGAGGGGCAAGAGCTCTAACGCCAGACTTTCTGGGTTCAATCCTGGCGCTGCCACATACCTACCACGTTACCTTGGGCAAGTGAATCTCTCCTGCCTCAGTGTCCTCATCTATAAGATGGGGGTAATTACGCATACACCTCACAGGGCTATAATAAGAGTAAAATTAGGTAATCTATGTAAGGTGACTGAAATAGTGCCAGATTAAAGTAGCACTTTGTAAGTTATTAGCTAAAAATGTTATTTCTCCTGAAATACCACTCACCTCGGCCCCTTCCTCAGTGCCAGAACGCTAGTTCTGTCCTATTTCCTGCACAAGCTTAGACTTATCCAAAGGCCAACTGAGATCTCAGATTGGTTTGGTTTTGCTTTTCAACCAACGCTGCAGTCATTTTACAATACCATTTTGTTAACATTAATAGTCCCTTGATTAAAATTCCTTCAACAGTGCCAACCATACTCCTTAACCGAGCATCCTAGCTTGAAATACAGCTTCACCCCCCTGCCTTTTTGAGTCTTTTCTCAGGTATTTTCACACTTCTGACTGGGACCACAATTTATACACTGGGTACTACACACTTTGTCACGTGTTCATCATTTATGCTCTGCAAACTCGCCTCTTCCGTTAATGCCCTCCCTGATCACAAGGGATATTCCTTTCTTTGGAGTGCTTATGGTAAGTAGCAGCTTAGTAAGTGATTCGTCAAATAAGTACCTGCTGCCTTGTAACACCTCTTTTATCGTCTTTTAAATATTTTGCCTTCATTAATTTTCTTCCTTAAGTCTTAATTCCACAACTAAGTTGGAAGATCTGCCTTCCTTTGGGCCGGCAGCTAATACTCCCTCAGGACTCGAGTGTCATGCTCATTCACCGATGAGACCAGCAAAGTGAAGGGTCTGTTCTTCTTCCGCTTTCCCAACTCTCTAAAACCCTGAAGATGAGCTCTTCAACAAAGACCTGTATCTCAGTCACATTTGCATGTCAAGACAGTATCCTCCCAAATAAACGCTTCACTCAACTAAAGCAAAAACTCCTCAAGGACTGTGCTGCGGATCTCTTTACAACCCCCTTGGCACCTAGCAGGCATACACACACACGTGGTTTTATTTGAACTGGATTTCTATTAATAAATAAGGTACATATAGATCAGCTAACCCCAAAGACTGCGTGCTTCATCGCTGAAAAGCAGATTCCTGTCCACTGCTGGGCACTTATGTCTCAGGGTGCAGCTGGCCCTAAGACAGACGGAACAGCTATGCTTATCCAGTGTGGCGATCTCTGGGGTAAAACTTTCCATGCTCTGAACTTAACTATCAACACTTTAAACCACTTCCAGGCACACTGAATAGTTACTCTTAACTGCTCAAAATACAAGAACTGTTACTGCATACCTTTTTGCTTCTCATATAGGAAAGGCGGCCCTCATGAGCATCAGGATAAGTGCAAAACAGATACGTGGTGATGGCATGCTTTAAAAAGGAGTCACCAAGCATTTCAAGCCGCTCCAGGTTAAATCCATCACTAGCGTTCGAAAGGGTCAAAGCCTGAAGAATAAGTCCAGGATTTGGGCCGAGAGTCCTTGGGGAATACCCAACAGAAGGGCTCCGCTCGGGATCCATCCTGCCCTTGAGTGCTCCAACAGGCATCACGGCCACCAGGGGACTTCCATCTGAGGTAGATTTGTTAGCATTTCCATCAAGGTATTTATTACTCAGTAGAGTACATTCATCGCTGGGCTTGGGCTGGTTCTCATAATTGTATAAATTCTGAATGGAATATGAGGTAGTTGGTTGTACAGGTATTTCCTGCTTGTAGTAATTCAGCTGATTTCCTTGGCAAAAGTCTCTGTTAGCTAAATCGTAACTGCCATTGGCCAGATTTTTATTGTAAGAAAGACCATTAATTGCTGTAAGATCTGTTGAAACTTCAATTTGGAGCTTACCAGGTGACTCGTTGAGTAAGGTTCTGCAGTTCACAGACATGTGGTCATGATTTTCTAGACAGGAGGTTCTATTAGCACCGTGATGTGCAGCATTTTCAGGGACTACAATTGTGCTGTGCTTACAGTAATTGTCATTGTCAGCTGAGGAGGAGTTAGAAATTGAGATGAAAGATTTGCTGTCAATAGATTTTTTCCATCCAAAGTCTAAGTTAGGATATCTGCAAAGACATTTTGATAGCTTTCCATCAGATCCTTCAAAAGGGCTAGGCTCAAAGCAAGAGAAATTTGAATAAAAAAATAAAGCCCCCCATAACTAGACTCCTGCTTTAGAAGGGAAACATGTTTCCAAGCCAAAAATCAACATGGTTCAGAATTCTGCATAATGTAAATCATGAAGTGGGACATTATTTACTCCACTGCTATAATCCCTTGCCCTAAAGCAGAGCACAGTGGTTAAAGACCACAGAGCTTGGCGCCAACCTGCAGCACCTGGAGCCCCAGCCTGCCTGGGTTGGAATCCCAGGCCCTCCAGTTAACTGGCTCGGTAATTTTGGGCAATTTATATACCCTCCCTATGCCTCAGCCTCTGCACTCAAAAATGAGGCTAATAATAATTCCTACCTCATAGGATTGTCCTAAGGATTAAATGAGTTAACACAGGCTATGGCATTTAAACCAGTGTTTGACACTGTAGTAAGTACTCAACACAGTAGTCATTATTACCATTCTATTTCAAAGTTCCTTCAATCTCTAGGACCATTTTGGTCTTGCCAGTTAGATGACCAAATGAATCTGAGTGGCTACTAAAGCAAATAATCTCCTTAGAATGCAGCAACTACTAGTGGGAAGAAAACAATGAAGACAAAGAACTTGGTGAGGCAATCCCTTTTTAATACATACTTGTTTTTTAAGAGACAACAGTCTTAAGATGTCTCCACACATTAACAAAAGGACTGTTCTCATTCTCACTTCAGCTGTCTACACTGAAGAAGGAATGATTATTTTTGACCTTAGGAACTCATGTCCCTTTGTAACTTGAAGAGAACACAGGACTCGATGATCAGAACACAGACTTTCATTGAGGAGGCAAATGATGCATTTATTTCATGTATTAGACATCCATGCTTTCTTTCTCATCCTTTAATAATTGTTTCACATAAAATTAAGATTTTAACTTAACTCAGTTCTAGTGCAAATAGGATCTCACGACCCATGTTCTTTCTGGCTGCTGGCACCAAAACCAAAAACCAAACCCGTTGCCGTGGAGTCGATTCTGACTCATAGGGACCCTATAGGACAGAGTAGAACTGCCCCATAGGGTTTCCAAGGAGCAAGTGGTAGATTCAAACTACTGACCTTTTGGTTAGCAGCCAAATGCTTAACCACTGCGCCACCAGGGCTCCTGGCTGCTGGCACAGACCTACCTAAAATCCGCAGGAAGTGATCTGACTCCCACGCCGGCATCACCAGCTGTCTGGGCTCTTAGCTCCTCTGCGGTCAAAAGGCAGTGAAGGCGATAAAGTATGCTGGGGAGACAGACTGCTTTTCTCCACAGTGATGCTGGGATTGGATGGATGGCACAGAGTTCTGGAACCAGTATCTTTGAGTAAGGAAAAAAGTGGAGCGATAAATAAGCACACGCACACAAAAAGTGAAAAAAAAATTAAAGACCAATTTTACTTATAATGAAAAAAATCTTAAATACTAGTGACACCTAATTGTAAAACAAAAAAAAATTAAAAATAACCTTTAAGGTCAAATGAGATTTACCAAAATAATTTAAGGATAGTAAAAACCTATCTACCCCTTGGACACTGACTTTAAATTCACGGGAGACATTGAGAAAATCTGAAGCTCGCGCAGGCATTCCCAGTCTGAAGTACTCAAAAGAAACACCCTTTATTTTTAAACTAGAAGATTACCAGGATGCAATGGACTAAGTATAAATACAAAACGCTCAAGAGTTACCAAAAAGACATTCAAAGAAAATTCAACACAATGCTGATCAAAACAAAACAAAACAAAACAAAATCTAACGGCTAGGTAAATTTTCAAAAATTCACAATCACTCAGTTCACTTGATCATGGAAAATTTAGACTTATCTTTAAACACACTGTGTTTGGCTAGTGACTGACTACTAGCTGGTTACCTGTTTATTCTGCAGACTCTCCCACTTGGCTTTCCTCTTTTCAGCACTGCTTAGAGGAAGGGCTTTCCCCTTCTGGTTCAAATGGCGAGGAGTCAAAAGATTAAGTCTATAAAGATTTCAAAATAATTTTATCAAACAAACAAAAACACACACACACTCCTGCAGTGGTGCTCCCACCTCAGCGTGCCTACATCACCTGAAGAGCTGCTTTACACTGCAGGCCCTGGGGACCCACCCTGGGCAAGTCTGCGTGCAAACAATCTCCTGGATTCCAGAGGGTGACCTTTGGCCTGTGCCTACTGTCCTCTGGAAAGAACGTCTCAGGTGAAACTCCGTGCCAGCTGCAAAGCTCCTTACCTGGAAGATGTGTGGTCCACATCCAGCAGAGGCTGGTTGAGATTGGTCAGGTCAAGGTTGTACTTCGTTTTATAATATTCTGCAAAAGTTTCATACTCGGGGGAAGGAAATTTGCTGAGTGGGGTAAGATCAGTGTACACATCAGCTACATAAAATCGATGAGGCTGATCAAAATTGCGGTATCTGAAAAAGAAAAACAGTTACTTTTGGATTTAAATCAACTACTCTCAAAACACATCTGTTTTTAATATGGAAATGAACATTATGAATTCAGAGTAAACATGTTAAATAAATAACAGGAATGAAAATTTCAATTCCAAAGAATGTATTTTCAAGTGGACTTGAGACAATAAGAACTATATTTTTATTAATAAAAACTGACTACTCTCCCCTACTTTATTATTCTTGTTCTAAGTATCTCCATTTTGAATACACAGAAGCTAAATGGCACCTTTAAATATTTCTTTATTTCATCAATATAAACAGTATAGCAAATTTCCAATATCCAAAAAACTGAATAAATACTGTGTACCCAATGCTAAACATGAAAAGCCACCCGTCGCAATAAAATGGGTCACTGTGCCATCTACAATAGTGATAGTTTAATGATAACTAACATTTAAAATAATGACTTCAAGGTGCAAAATCAAGAAAGATTGAAATCACAGCCACTATTCTAATTCTTTGAAAAAATTCCATTAATTCTTGGAAAAACTTCCATTACCCAGAAACTCCATTCCCTAAGTTTTCCCAAGAAAAAAAGCATCCTAGTTTATGATTTTCATTGAGCTTAGTAACATATTTCCTTATAAAGGAATTGTAGAAATAAAACAATTATTTATGATCAAATTCTATAAGACGACTTTGGGGATTAAAAGGATAGAGATTTTAAGAAGAAAACATCGGTGTTGTTAAACGACCTGGCCTTCACAAGGGAGAATCCCTTCACCTACAGTGTTTTAGTTTCGGTTTTTCAACAAGTACACAGGAGAGAACAGGTCCAACATGCAGTGAGACGCCTCTATTCTCTACTAGTAACGTCAATACCAAAGTCACGGCTTGCTGACGTTCCCAGGTGAACGAGTGAATCTTTTCAAACAACGTATCACCACCATTTTCCTTTCCATTAAAACACCCACCTTGGAATGATAACTGCATCCTGGTAATCTTCTAATTTAAAAACAAAGGGTGCTTCTTTTGAGTATTTTGTACTGGGAATGCCTATGCGAGCTTCAGATTTCTCTATATCTTCCATGAATTTGAAGTCAATGTCCAAAGTGCTGGAGTCATTAACTTAGGGAAGAAAATAAACGCTTTAGCTTGTTATAATGATACAGATAAGACTCTTACTTCATTTGTATGTTCATTTATGTGTCTAATTCAGAATTATCCTGGACAAACAAAACCTTGTAGTATATAAACTAAACTAACAATCAAGCAAAACTTGCATTTTTCAGTGAGTATCAGTGAACACTGAAGTCTGGGTCCTTCTTACCAACATTCAGAGGTAGAACACAGTATGCTGAATCAGCGTCTGTAGGTTTAAATTCTAGTGCAGGTTTTTCAAGCCGAAGAATATGTGAGAATATATACTGGTGAAGTCTTGTAATCAACTCTAGCATTTGTAGAGACAACGTGAAACCAGACTTCTTCAACTCTATAGATATGGTAACCTCTCCAGAGCGTGTGTACACAGGAAAGTGCGGAATCTTGGCGGAAAGAAAAAAAGCACCCCTAGGTTAATAGGTAGTTTATTCCATTATAAATATCACTTCAGAAGAGGAGTAACGCTTTCTATCAAGAGCAGTATGGGAGACCCTCACTTTAAAGTATTAAACATAATCAGGTAACAAAAGCCACCTACTCCCAAATCGTTTTCTTTTTCCCTTTTTTGAAAACAAGATATTTTAAACACAAACAGTCCTTATCACGTCTACCTGAGGTATGGGTTTGGCTGTCAATATTCCAAAGCATCTTGTAGTATCCTCAGGGGGATAGAGCTTCCGCCTTCGAAAGTTGAGTTCATCAGGTAAAGGAGTAGTTAAAACCATTCCTATCACATACAGGTAACAGGGTTGATCGGGTTTTGGGTAACTATCCCTCAAACATTCTGGAATCTGCAGTTGGAAAGAAAAATTAAGGATCCAGCTCAAGTATAACAGCCTCCTTCCAGGGATTGGCAAGAAAACAAATTTATTCCTGGCTTTACTAAAAGCTGACATATTCCACTGAAGTTACTCCTTTCACCTCCCGGTAGCCCACATCCTAACCCTCGACAGGTATTTGTGATTCTGCCTTTCAGAGTGCCTCTCATCTTGAGAGGATATCTTTCCATTGCCTGTTTGATCATACAAGTCCTCTTTTGTCTTAGTCTCAACCATAAATAAAGCAAGAATCTTCATGTTAAAATTAATGAAACAAAAAAACATCTCTCTAAATGAAATAAACTTCTGGATACAATCAGATAGATGAGTCCCCGAAACCTAGAGAACAACCAGAGTAACATCTGAGGTGGGAAAAGGCAGTAGAGGCACCAGAGTGAAGCGGCTGTTCTGAGAAACTGTGAAGGAAGGCCCTGATACCCCCAGTGGGCCAAACTACAAGGGTCTGGGAAGCCAAGCTGAGGAATCTAGACTTGATGTAGCAGGAAATAAAAGGCTAGTATTCCATTCATCCTAACCAATACTAACTGCTTTTGGGTAGCACTGCCTTCGTTTTGTGGAACCTGGCCTTCCTGGAACACTGGTTTCTTCTTCGTCATGTAAATCAAGCTCTTCTTCATATTTAACAGTTTCTTTCCCTACTGGCATCAAATGGTCATCCAGTTCGCCTAAGAAATATAAATTAACATAAACAATTCAGATTTTGCTTAATTAGCAAACAATGCAGGAAAGCACTATGTTAAGATGCCAAGTGGAAGCGTAAGGAAGACTAAAGCACCTTTGCTTTTTTTATGAATTTTAAAAAATTAGGGTAAAAATACATATTACACAAAATTTACCATTTTAACCACTTTTAAGTATAATTCAGTGGCACTAATTATATTCACAATGTTGTGCAACCATCACCACTATGTGTTTCCAGAACTTCTTCATCACCCTAAACAGAAACTCTACACCCCATTAAGCATGAACTCCCACTCACCCCTCCCCCAGCCCACGGTGCTCACTAATCTACTGTTTCTATGCATTTCCCTACCCTAAACACTGCACGTAAGTGGGAGCACCTGTGCTTTTCATAATGTCAAAGTAGCCGGATATGATACTTTAGGCAAAGTCTATCCTGGCATTCAGATGTTCAATATGAGCAGAAGTAAACACTCCTTGCAAGATTAAAAAGTAAAAAAATCTAAACAGGGAACAGCATATATCAACACCTCTAATTACAAAGGCAATAGAAAATGAGTCTTTCCACTAAAAAAAATAATAATTTGTAAGCTAGTAAAGATTAACTTGAGGAACTGGCACATTCATGTTAAGACACAGACGTTCATGATTCAACAGCTAAGAGAAGATCTCCACGTATTTGAAAGAGGTCAGCAAAGGGAACAAATAAATGACTGCCGCCTGCAGTTAAGCTGTGGGAAATCATCTGTTTTTATTTGCATATGCTTCTCAAACACCCTTACCTATTTTGTGCAGTTTTTCACAGCAAATAAGAGCTACAACTCTTTCAGCCAATCGTACACAGCTCATTGGTGGACCCTGGAAGTAAAAGGAAACCTTTGCATTGCATATGCACATGGCGATATAATAACTATATAACTAACATTAAACATCTACAAAATCTTTGCTCCAATATCTTTAAAGTTCAATTTACCAAAACAAAGTTCCAACAAGTTTTTTAAAAAATCCTAGTCTCCACATTTTAAATATGCATCTTTAAAAACCCTGCCCAGTAAAAACTAAATGAGTTGTAACTAAGATTTTAATTGGTGGATTTAAATTTCAATAAGAATTTAAAGTATCTTACTTTCACTAATACAAATATACTGAAAAAAAAAAGAACAAAATAAAGATATATCGGGATGTAACTGCAACTGCAGTAGTACTGAACAACTTTCCACACGTGATAGAAATTAGTCACCTGGGAATATCTGGACCAAGGACAGAGTTACAGAAAGGCAGAATTCTGACTCAACAACTAACAAAAAATACCTACAACAGCACCACTATGTTCTCCATCGCTGTCAGTACTTAAACCACAGCTCAAGGACTGGCAGAAACATTTGCACCGAGAAGACCTGGAGGACACCCCAGAGCTCCTCTAGTCCAGTCTTAGAGTCTATAAGTCACAGAGTCTACTGAAGATTTTTGAATGCCTAGTTTACTACAGAAGAAATATAAATTTACTTTCATAAGTAGATTTTAAAACCAACGACAACTTGCACAGTCTTGGAGAAGCTGAAAAAATTCATTAACGCTGTATTTGAAAGGCACGACCATTTCTTTTTCTAAACTTACAACAATGGAGGCTCGAAGAGGTGAGTTAATTGGCAGATAAAGAGTTGAATAAAATGTACCATCCGGCAACTCTCGCGTTCTACATTTAGGAGCTAGATGAGTGAACGGATCACTTGGTAATCTAGCACAGTATCTGCGAAGAAAGAAAAATTCTGATGGTGAATCTTCAACTAATGAAGAGAAGGAAAAACTTGTACTGATATTCATAATCTGAGGTTTGTTTGATTTCTTATGTCTCCCTTTCCTCCTACTGGATCTGTATTTATACTCAGAGTTTGAACTTGTTTCAAACTTTCAACGAGGTGGACAGCGCCGTCCAGCAGAACATTCCGTGATGATGTTCTATATTAGCGCTGTCAACACGATAGCCACTGACTATATGCGGCAACTGAGCACTTAAAGTGTAGCGAGTGTTTAACTCAGGAACTGAATTTTAAAATTTTATTTAATTTTAACTGAAGTTAAAATTTAATTTAAATGTAAATAGCCACATGTGCCCAGTGCTCCATACTGGACAGTGCAGAAAGCCCTGTTTGGAATCTGTTAAGAGAACAGTGTTCGCTCTTCAATAATCTTATTTGCCAGCAATGATCAGGACCTGCACAAGAAAGGTATCAGAAGATGGTGGAGGGCCAGTGCAGCACTGACACAAGAAGGGCCTCAGGGTAGGAGGACCCCCCAGCAGCAGCACAAGGAAGAGTGTCAGAGCAGCACAGGAAGGTAGCTGGGGGGAGCCAGGGTCAGGTAAGGACCTGGGTGCTGGGGCAGGAAGACAACCCAGTAGGGGTCAGGAAACCAGAGCCTTTGGAGAAATAGCCACCCAAGGATGGGCAGGAAAGTCTGAGGTGAGTCTAGGGCATCTTACTGTGACAGAAAATATTCAAAGAATAATGGTGACATGTTAAAAAGGCACAGAAGCTAGCATGAAGCTAGCTTGATTTCTTACATCTCCCTTTCCTCCTACTGGATCTGTATTTATACTCAGAGTTTGAACTTGATTGTTTCAAGCTTTCTAGGACAACTTTAACACAAAATAAATAATAATAAATGATAGCAATGGATTACAACCCACTGAATAAAACAGGAGCTCATAAGTTCACACTGAGACAAAAAATTAAATGAATAAATAAATGGAGCAAAGAGAAAGCTCTTCTTTATAGTAGAGTGCCAACTAATAAATGTAGAAAGAATGATGTTATTAGAAAATCATCATTCAGCAGCCATCGTAGTAATAATTAATTCAAGCAAGAAACATCAATGGATGCTTCAACTAATGGGTGAACCTGGGAAGAGGGATAGATGTTACTAATTATAAAGGCGGGGGGGGGGAGGCAGCTTTGTAGTAGAGAAAGCTAGTAGACTTTATTCAAGTGATCGAAGTTACCACCACTGGTAAGTGGACAAATCGACATCAAGTGCCACCCAGTGAGGTGAAATGAGAACACTGTATCACTTCAGTGATGCGCTGGCCAAAAATGCATAACCTGGGTCTAATCATGAGAAAATATCAGATAACCCCAAATTGAGGGCCTTATAATGTTCAGAAGTTTCAAGGTCATTAAAGTCAAGAAAAGCCTGAAGATCAGTTCCAGACTGAAAGAGGCTGCTGCTGTTGTTGGGTGCCGTCGAGTCGATTCCAACTCATAGCAACCCCACGTGACAGCAGAACTGCTCCACAGGGTTTTCTAGGCTGTGATCTTTCACAGGAGAAGATCGCCAGGTCTTTCTCCCCGAGATGCTGGGTAGGTTCGAACTGCCAATCTTTCAGTTAGCAGCCAAGTGCTTAACTGTTGAGCCACGAGGGCTCCTTGAAGGAGACTAGGGAAAATGGATACAACCAGTGATCAGAAGTGGATCCTTTTACTACAAAGGACATTCTTTGAATGGGTCTCTCTAGGTGAAGGGTACATGGGTGTCCTTTGTAGTATCCTTGCAACTTTTTAAAGTTGGCAATTGTTTAGCGATAAAAAGTTAAAGAGAAAATTTTATGTTTGCACCTTTATTTTGATCTCTGAATGAAATTTATCCTGATATGTAATCTTAGTTTCTTAGTTCTTAGAAATATTACCAGAAATATTACCAAAGTAAATTAGAACACTCAAAAATACAAATTAATTTATTATAATCTTACATGACTGCTAACGGAATATTCAACATTACCTGACATTTATGGCACAAAACAACAAATTTTAGGATTTAGAAAAAAATTAGTGAATATTATCAAATTAAATCTAATCAAAATAAACATGCCTTCATTACGTCAGACATGGCAACGAGTACTAAATATTTATTACTACACAATACAGTTTTTACATTTTGACCAAAAAAGAATGAATGAAAAAAAGCAACTTCTTCTCTCATCAAAGTGTATTACAAGCCGTAAATGAAGACTGGTGATTGTTTGTAAAATGTAAATAACAATACAATACTGAGAGGTTTAGATTAAATCTTGCAATACTGGCAAGTTGTCCACACAAATGATTGATACCACACCTATTGATGTGTCCAATGGCCGTATTGATTGTGACTCTTGGACCACCATCATCGGGCCTCAACACATACGGTGGGAAAACATCATCGTCATCCACAATAGGTTCAAGGTCAGTTTCACCAGCATCAACTGACTTGGAACATTTGTTTCTCAAAATCTGAACATGTTAAAAACCAAAATTTATGATGAGAAAAAATGCCTTCTTTGCCGTAAGTCAGTTGTCAGCTTCTATACCTACAGAAAAAGCTCTTCACACCTGAAACATCCATCTCCCCTAAACATAATTCAATATCCCAACATCAGCTGCTGCAGGAAGTTTCTCTCAATGAATCCCTCCCAGCTCCGATCACGTGGAGACACAAACCACACAGATGCAAGGTTTATACTGTACTGTACACCCCCCCCAACACACACACAAATGTATGACTGTCTTTCATGAATAACAGGGACTATATTATCAATGCCAAATCACTCCACAACTCAAGTAATCAACAGTCACTGCACTGTCCCCAGTAACACCACAGTTTCCCAGGCAACCTTCCCTAACAATCCACATGACCATTTTCACTACTATTTTACTTAAGCTTTCAAACACTTTGTAAAATATTGCTAGATCTTTGGATCATTCCCAACTTCATTTTATAATATACACATTGCAGGCCCCCCATTAAAACTATTCTCTGTAGATAAAGCTGTTTTTATCTACTTCTACGCACACAAAGAATGATAACTTAAAGATGCCATATTTATTTTTGGCTCTTACCTTTTCAATAGCTTTGTAGGTTTTAAGGTCTTCTTCAAAGCTTTTTATTTTGTCTGTATCTGCTAACATTATGTAATTAGAGATCGGTGCCCTTGCTCTACCCTTAGATTGAACATAGGATCGATATTCTGTGGGCAAATCAAAACGAACTACCAAGTTGCATTTTGGAATATCGACACCCTCTTCTACAATACTTGTTGCAATAAGCAGGTTGGTCTCATGTGCTCGAAATTTCCTAAGTACCTGGAAAAAAAAAATTCAACCAAGAAAAGCAATTTTAAGAAATATACCTAGATTTCTTAGCATTATAGACTTCACGGTAACATGTCAATTTCCAAAGAAAACAATAGAGTAAAAGTAAGTGACAACTGTCATTTCTGACACACACTTCAGGCATGCTGGGTTGTTAAGGCCAGGCTGAAGATGACAGTCACTTGGGATACATGGACACACGGGCCAAGAAACTTCAATTTAACGACAGTAGTTTTTAACTGAAGATGACGTAAAAACTAAAACGCCTTGCTGCAAAGAGACCAAAGTTTGTAGCAGGAGCCGGGGGAAGAGAGAATGGCAGTTATTGCTGAAGGGTTACTGAGTCTTTGTTTGGGGTGATGTACAACTTTTGGAAATAGACAGTGGTGATGGTAGTACAGCATGGTGAATGTGATTAATGTCACTAAACTGTATGCTAAAAAGAGGTTCGGATGGCAAATTTTTTGCTATATATATTTCACGACAATAACTTTTTTTTTTTTTTTTTTTAAATCAAAGTGCATTTCTATTCCCCTAAGCATCCACATACAAATCACAGGGCGTCTTCAGGTTAAGCTTCTTTCACGACCATGAGGGGATCCAGCCAAGAAAGTGAGCGAACAAATTCATGCCTGGAGTCCTGGGGAGATTCTGACCCTCCATAGTGATAGCTTATGTCTGTGATACTTTGTTAACACCCTTCCAAAGATGGCAAAAATCTTGCATTGAAATCCTTAAACCACTTGGAATTAAAAATTATAAGCAAGGAATTACTTATTTCCTGGCATCTTGGAATTTTTCAATTTAAGGAGTTAGAACCATGATTAAAAATTAAAATGAAAACATTTTTCACACTATATTTAAAATATAATTTCCCAACCCAGGATAAATTAAATAATGAAGTAAGCTGGTTTTTACAATGTCAGCTCTCTCTGACTCTGGCTATTAGACTCCTGAAGCTTGGAATATAATTAAAAAGCTATGATTTGAAAAGTGATCCCAACATGAATTATTCTGCTAATTTGAAGTTATATAACAAACTTTTTTTTTTTAAAAAAAGGCTTCTGTTCGTTGGTAAGAATACTATATTAAGTTTTAGCATCTTTATTATACTGTTCCCTACACTAAGACTTTAAAAAGCATGAAAAAAAATTAAGCTGAAATCTACAAAATATAGTATTTTTTTTTAAATATCAAACCAAGGGAGGGTTTAACATGAAAATGCACACACACACACACACACACACACACACACACACACACAAAACCACTTGCTAGGCAGAGTTCAGTTTGCCACTTCATAGTCTGAGTAGGCGTGATAGTTACACTTTTGTTTCTCTATGGAAGGTAGCTATGTGCCATCATTCCAATAAAGGAAAATGAAATGGATGATGCCAATTAAGACACAGAATTAACTTACTGGATGGCTATTCTAACTCTGAGCACACGATTCACTGCACAGCCACCTCAGAGGAGATAGCTGGTTTATATATGAACGAGCCACCTACATTACAAACAAATGCTGGGGAACGCTGACAAAAGGGAGTTCCGACGGGCAGAATTTGTTTATACAGTCGGCTCTCCGTATCCATAGGTTCTGGAACTGAATTCCCAGACTCAACTAACCTCGAATTGAAAATCTGGGGAGAGGGAGGAAGTTCCAAAAAGCAAAACTTGAATTTGCCACATGCTGAGCGCTCGCTGAATCCACGTGAATGAAGTGATGTGCAGGCTTCCCTGCTGAAGCCTCCCGCCATCTCACAGCTCTTCAGTCTCTCTCCAGCACTCATGGTTTGAGCACTGTTTGCAAATACATGCAGGTCATTTTAGATAAGGGACTTGGGCATCCATGGATTTTGGTATCCACAGGGGTCCTGGAACCAATCCCCCGTGGATACCAACGGACGACTTTGTATGTTCTGAAGATGGTTACTGTAGGATCATTTTAACTTACCTCTTCCTGTTTTCTGAATTCTGCTTCCATCTGTTTGTTACGGGGCTGATTCTTTCCAATGCCATGTCCAGTTATGAAATTGCTGCTGATATAAGCCAGCTCTGGATCCTGTTTGCCAGCTTCCTTTATCAATCTAAGAACATTATACACATTTGGAAGTTAAACACCGCTGAGGGAAAAAACAATTTAAACTTTTGTTTGTAACCTCTCCCTTAAAATGGAAATAAATGTATCTTTTGCCAACATACGTAACAAAATGGTCTTGGTTTTTTGTTTTTTTTTTCAGCTAGGGTAAACAGACATCCCTATCGCAATTCACCCCATGGATCCATAGACCAAGTATTTATAATGCCAAATAACGAGGTTGATTTATACCAGCAGTGAAATGGGCACATCACCACCAACTTTCTGAGTGGCAATGATGACCTGTTAGAAACGTGGCCCAGGACGGGGCAGAGCTAGGCCGAGAGAAGCATGGATCCTCATCCTCCCCCCTCTTGGCTTCAGGACAGGACTTTATATTGAAGAAAGTTCCGCACAGCTCACTGCACTTCTCCCAACATGTGCACAGCTTGGAGCTGCAGTCCTGGCCTTTTGTCTGCTGGCCACGCTTACACAGAACAATTACCAACAATGAAACCAATTTCTACAGCAAAGAAACCTTATTCCCACTCTGTATTTAATAAAAACGTCCCAGCTATGTGTGAAAAAGAAGTATGACTATGTCTTTTAGTCTTACCCCAATACCCTGTATCACTGGAAGGAGGGCCTTGCAAAGAAATGCCTGGCTACTGATAAGCCTCTCAATTCCCAATACTTTCCCGCCTCCAGAATCTGCTCCCCAAAGCTGCGCGTAATAGAACACTAGGCTCCAGTCGAGCAATGCAGAAAGTTCCCCGGCCCACCCTGTCAGGGGACGAGAGAGACTCCAGCTTCGTCCTCCTTCTGCCTGCTCCTCTGTATTAGCCAGAGTGCCAGTCACCAAAAGCTGGCCTTCGAGCTAAGAAATGGAAAAGGGCTGCAGGCTGGGATCACGTTACACAGGTACAGAAGGTCAACAGTTAGCGTTGCCATTACAGCTATTTTGGAAATACCCACATTCAAAAACTCAGCATGGAGGATAAATGGTTCCACACCTGATGTAAGTGATTCCACATGGTTCTTCTGAAGCCATACTACAACACAGCATAAACTCCTAATAGAAAATTGCATTTTTAAGTCAAACCACTCTTTTCCTAAATATGTGAAACAGACTAATATCAAAGAGCTGGAAGAAACCTTGAGTGGCCATCTAGAGTATCTTTCTGACTCTCAAACAGCAAAACATTTGCGTGTGCAGGTTAGTCTAAGAGTCTGCCCTACAGTTCAAGAATTTAAAATGTCCAGAATCAGAAACCACCTTAATATGTTCCCAAGTTTTTAAGTTATTATAATAAACTTATTATGTCAGAGAGAAAGCAGTCTTACATGCAAACAAATAGCATGACTAACAGTCTAAAATATCAGGTAAATTATCTTAGAAAGAATACACAGGTCCAAACGTTAGTATACATAAGCACCAATTTGAATGTCATAAAGGTTAAAAAAAAAAAAAAAAAAAGGCACTTTAAGTTACTCCTAATTAGGTGAACAGTGTGTTTTGCTTTGCCAAAATGATCGATCTGGCCAACTTCAATTAGCTGAGAAATGGAGGCACTGGCGTATAATCTCCTTAATGAAGCCCTCATCAATACAGCAGAGAACAGAAGAACCATATGCACATTAATAAATAAAATCTCCTGTAAGAAATCATTAAATGCTACATGCCTACGCTGAGAAATGAAGTTTAGACAGAAAAAAATCTATTCCTCTACAGGATGAATTTAAGGGGTGCCCGAGTGTCCAAGAGAAAGCTATGAGCATCAGGGGAAACTAAGCAAGCGTCCACTGTTCTCGGGGGCGTACAAGCGAGTAACATGAACCGCTGAAGGATTTTGCCGCACAACAGAACCGGTTGGACAGTCTTGCGTTCATGCCTTTTGGTGTTTACACCAAGTTTATGCAAGTTGCTCCACGCACGAGCCGTTTGATAAGCTATCCGGTTCTCCTGTGCTAAATAAAGGCTTCTTAAACTATCTGTAGTGAAGAACTTTTTTGTTTAAAATTTTCAATCATCGGACAATATTTTTATCAAAATTACCCAGAAATAAATTTTTAAATTACTGCCACACAGTGGCTGCAACAATAAGTTCAAACACAGCAGCGACTGTGAGCGTGGCGCGGGACCAGGTAGTGTTCTGTTCTGTCCTGTCGCGCATTGCTATGAGTCAGAACCCACCCACGGCATCTAACAACAACTGCTTAAAACAAAATTTCAAGAGCATTAAAACTCAACTGCCAATTTTTATTATACTCAACAGACATAAAGTTACTGTCAAACTGCTGTAAAAGTTTCTAAATGCTTACTCTCTATTTCCCTATTTAACTCACCATGGAGTTAAGGTAACTGGTGGTGGGCTGGCACCAGTGGACAGACTACCCTTGGAGAAGCACTGCTCTGATGTTTGTGTATCTGAGCAAATCACCTCCCCAATTAGACTGGAAATAGCAAGACCCGAAACAGAAGTATCTACAGTAGATACAGAAAAAAATTCAAGGGAACATACACATCAACACATTACTTGAAATCTCTACCAGACACTTCAAAAAAAAAAAAAAGTACTACTGATAACATATTTAATTTTATTCTGTTTTAGGTGAAAGTTTACAGCACAAGTAAGTTTCTCAAAGTTTATACACAAATTGTTTTGTGACATTGGTTGCCATCCCCACAATGCGTCAGCACTCCCCCCCTTTCCCCTTCCACTCTGGGTTCTCCGTGTCCAGTCACCCAGTTTTCCTGTCCCTTCCTGCCTTCTCACCTTTGCTTTTGGGAAGGTGTTGCCTATTTGGTCTCGTATACTTGATTGAGCTAAGAAGCACACTCCTCGTGTGTGTTATTGTTTGTTTTACAGGCCTGTCTAGTCTGGCTGAAAGGTGGACTTTGGGAGTGGCTTCAGTTCTGAGTTAGCAGGGTGTCTGGAAACCACAGTCTCAGGGGTTCCTCCAATCTCAACAATGCTTTTAATAGTATCCCTTACTTTTTATATTTTCTTATCAATGTGAAAACATCAAATGTAATTCCTCTTCAATCTTATTACAAAAAAAAAAAACCCTTATCACAGTATCAGTATCCCCAAATGTGTGCATCAGTTAGCACCTACTGTGTGCTGGGTGGAAACCCTGGTGGCGCAGTAGTTAAGAGCTATGGCTGCTAACCGAAAGGTCGGCAGCTCAAATCCACCAGGTGCTTCTTGGAAACCCTATGAGTTGGAATCGACTCAACGGCAATGGGTTTGGTTGTTTGGTTTGGTGTGCTGGGACCCCTGGTGGCACAGTGGTTAAGAGCGGGGCTGCTAATCAAAAGGTCAGCAGTTTGAATCTACCAGGCGCTCCTTGGAAACCCTATGGGGCAGTTCTACTCTGTCCTACAGGGTCACTATGAGTCAGAATCAACTCGATAGCAATGGGTTTAGCTTTGGTTTTTGGTGTGCCAGGTGATAAAACAGCTAGTTTTACACACATTGTAATTTGAACCTTAGTAAGAGCCCAGTAAAAGAAAGCAGTATTATTACTAGTTTACAGACAAAAAAACTGAAGCTTAAAAAAAGTTAAATAACTTTCACAAAACATACATCTAAAAAGTGGGTAGAAATAAAGGGAACCAGGGCTCCTTGGAGAATCAGCTGATTCTAGGGTTGGGGCAGGGAAAAGACAGGAAGAGCCTGGAGCCAGAAAGTAAGGAAGTGCAGGGTGGATTATCCAATAAGCACAAGTAAGCCCGTGCTTACTTTGCTTACTAGGTCATCCGCCCCTGTTAGAGGCTATTAAGTTTAAAAAGAGGTTTTGATTCTATAGGAAGGTGCTGTGGGTTTGGGAGAGAGACAGATGCCAGCCATACTTAGAAACAGAACCTCTGATGTGGTGAAAAACTGTGACTAGAGATGACCTGGTAAGCAAGGTAAGCACTGTGCTTACCTTGCTTACTGGATACTCTCCCCCTGTGAAGTGCCCAAAAACACAAGGGTGACCACAAGTCTAAGGGACACAGGAGCTAACTTCCAAGAGCTTCCCCAATGGCCAAAGTTGGAACAATTTGAGCTACAAAATAAAAAACATAGTAGATTATAACCCAAAGTATAAAATAAACAAGAGCCCATACTGATGAAAATACATGATTCAATAAATATAAATACACAGATAAAAAAAAACTTGTAAAAGAGACAAGTTTTCGTTACAGAAGAATTCCAAATAATAAAAGATAAATACAGCCCTCTAGAGGAGGTGGAGCTTAATCCCTCCCACTCTCCACTCCCCAGGGTGGGCTAGCCTTAGCAACTTGCTTCCAAAGAACAGAGTACAAGAAGAGAAAAAAGGTAACTCTCCAGCGGAGAAGCCCAGCAAACACTACCTTAATCAAGTGATGAAGTTTAACATCACCTGTGATAAGTCATGTTGATACAATTAACCCGTTGCTGTTGAGTCGATTACAACTGTCCCATAGGGTTTCCAAGGCTGTAATCTTTACAGAGGAGCCCTGGTGGCACAGTGGTTAAGAGGTTGGCAGTTCAAATCCACCAGCCACTCGTGGGAAACCCTATGCGGCAGTTCGACAGCAATGGGTTTGGTTTTTGGGTTTTTTAATCTTTATGGAAGTAGACTGCCACATCTGTCTCCCACAGAGCAGCTGTTGGGCTTGAACTGCTGACCTTCCGGCTAGCAGCCAAACATTTAACCACTATGCCACCAGCCAAAAGGGTACTTTACCCCTTGAACTCAAGTCTGAGAAAAACATCAAGACAAACTCAAATTGAGGGACATTCCACAAAATACCTGACCAGTACTCTCCAAGACTGTCAAGGTCACCACAAACAAAGAAACACTGAGAAACCATAACAGCACAGGAGACTGAATGGCGACAAGTCAGTGCAATTCCATGGACTGGAATGAGGACATTTAAAGGAAAAAGTGACGAAAGCCAAATAGTCTGGAGTTTAGCACCAATGTCAGTTTCCGAGTTGTGGCAAATATACCATGGTAACGGAAGTAATGTCATGTATGATGTTAAATACAGGGGGAGGGACAGAGTAGGGGAAACCAAGTAACAGGTATACAGGAACTCTCCACAACTTTCTTAATAAAAATGTAAATGTAATATTATTCCAAAATAAAAATTTATCAGGGACCAAGGGGGAGAAGGGAGAGGCAGGATGTGAACCCAGGGTTGTCCACCATCAACATCACACAACACTAGGAGGTCACACACAGTGGGAAGAACACTGGACTTGGCCACTGGAAACCCTTTCCTGCCACTTGTCACCTGGGTGATTCTGGGAGGGTCACAAACTGTCTCGGTTTCCTCATCTGAAATATGGTAAGAACATCTACCCCTCCCTCACGGAGGGTTGTAAAAATTAAAAGAATATATGTAAAAGTAAACCAGAAAACCCTATGTGAGACACGCTAAAGGGAAAACTGTAAGCACAGAACTATACCTATACCTATACACAAAAGTAAACGCGATTTCATTTTTAATCAGGAGAGCAGAAAGCTGCACGTGTATTACAACAGGTTATGCTCACACGAAACCGTTCACCGAAGAAGGGTTTTTCCTCCCATTAAACTGATGGAAGGAAAGAATCTGGACTTCAGGAAGTTTTTCTAAGCTTATTAAAAAGCTTACTGGAACAAGACCTCCATTGTACATTTAATTAGCTGCCTATAAAGTCAAGCAGCAGACCGCTCTTGAGTCATCACACAACACTAAATTCCAGCCACATTTTATGAAAACTGATCACAATCTGATCCTCAAAGTAACTGACTGATTATGGATAAACCTTTTCAGGTTAATATTCTGCAATGAAAACTAGCATGTCTGTACATAAAAAGACATGTAGAGAACCAGAAAGAAAATAAACCCCATTTCTTCTCTCCAAGCCCTAGGAACTTTATTCAATCCTTCTACCCTCCTGAACGGGGAAGGTGAGGTTTTTATAACTAGGCTCCAAGCTCTGCCAGTGTTCTGACTGCCAGTGTTCTGACTCCTGAAATGCCTCTCCCCTCCATTCTCAGAGAAGAAATGATCCTCGACAGTCCCGCCTCCCGGCCCGTCTCCTGGCAGTCCTCCCACTGCACAGCGCTGGTTTCCAGCGCTCTCTGACACCCGGGGGCATTAGGATTGCAGAATGAACTAGAAATCAGGAGTGAGGATATCAGGATTTTAGAACCGTCTCTGCCACTAACTGGCAATTTAACTTAGGGAAAATCACTTTTCCTCCTGAGACCTTTTGTCTTTTTTTTGTAAAAACAAGTGGGTTGGATAAGATAGTCGGTGAGGTCCCTTTCCAACCTTAAACTTCTGATTTGAATGTAATTCACTACCTACATTATTTTACTTCACATTCATCAGAAGGATCAGGCCCAATGACTATGAAAATTACCAGACTGAAAACTGCCAGATGACTACCCTTGAGTCCAATTTCTCCTTACTCAAAAAAGTTTTTAAAACCTCTAAACATCCAGCAGCAGTTAAGGGAAAAAAAAAAAATCCTAATTACCTCAGGAAACAAAGCTTAATTTTTCCTCAGAGATCACTACTTGCAGAAAAGGCTCTCAGGGATCAACTCTGGCCAATTAACAGATCTCACAAAAAAGCAGACTGTCTTAAGTACAAAATAGAGACCTTTTTTTTTTTTTTTTTTTGCTAAATAAATAAATAATAGAGCATCTATCCACAAACCAAAAGAACCATACATAAGTGACCATTTGACACAAATTTGAAGTACAGCTCCTTGGCTGGGTCTATATCCAGGAAAAATAAATTTTTATTAAAGAAGTGGGTAGATGGCTAGAATCCACAACCTAAAATTTGGATTCACCCTCACCTTAGTTAATATTCTCAGAACTCTTCCCTAACATTCTTATTCTCCTCTGAACCAGAAGATTTTAACATGTAGTCTAGGAACCACTATAAACTAAAAAATCCAGTTGCTCTAAACTCTTTCCACTGCAGACTTGCAAACTTGAATCAACACTCTTTTAAGAAAATAAAGTTAACATAAATTAGCCACAATAATAGTCAGATAAAATTTATCCTAAGATTATTGACAGGAGAAAGTTCTGTGTGAAATGCTTAACACAATGCCTAGCACACAGACAAAGATTAGTAAATACCTGACTTGACTTTAACTGAATTGAATTAAAAACAAAGAATGCTTTACTTTAATGTGATTTAATTTTTCTATGCTTGCTCTCTATTTTAGATGGATGTGGTAGACTGTTATCCTGTAAGAAAAAGTCTCAGTCATGTCAATCCTAGCCTTTTGGGACAGCTACAGTATATATAAATATCTTCTATCAATCCCAATGTAGCGTTACACATGAATTACGATGGTACCAAGTAAAGGACACTTACATAACCCTTCTGCTACCTCTTAAAGCTATCACAGCATATCACTTCACAAAACAAAACTTCCTTGTTCTACTCTAGGAAAAAAAATGTTAATCTTAACATTTTACCTGTTTAAGACAACTGCTGTGTATCTTCTCTCCACAAAAATAATTCCGCATAAAATATTGGTAAACGGAGAAGGAAAATTTGTCTCTGGCTTCTCTTTTTCTTCAATTTCTTCATCCTCATCATCATCCTCAGAATCACTCCAAGAAACATAATTGTCCTGATTTCGATTATTATACCACTCAACGCTCTCAAACTGCTGCCGCTCATATGGTTTATATTTGCGTAAGATTTCAAGCAGTTTTATGACTTTCGGAGTGACAAATTTCAGGTCAAGTGAGGCAGGTGAGAAGTGCTCTTCACACAGTGCATGGATTTTCCTTAGGAAAGTGTCTGTAAACAATAAAAATTTCCTGTGCAGCTCCTCTTGTTCATGCTTGATGTATTTCTGTAGTTCTCTTACCATCATCCCAGCTACTTTATCTGCACACCAGGGCCCCAGAACTACCAATACCGCACGACAGTCTGATAGTATCTACAGAAAAAATTTAAAAAGTGAAATGCTAAGAAACATTCATGTAGCATTTTCATATGGGGGCTTAACTTGAATTTAAGTTGTCCTCAAAATGCCCCTTCAAAATAAATTCAGCCCATTAACATAAACACTGAGGTTTACTCCCTAAGGTTGGGGGGAGGGACCAGTGGTCTTTTCAAGCTCTACTTTGACACACATAGAGAGAGAAAGAGAGACAGAGACAGAGAAAGGAGCCCTGCTGGCACAGTGATTAACTGCTCCTCTGTGAACCAAGCTGTGAACCTAAAGGTCGGCAGTTCAAACCCACCAGCCACTCTGCGAGAGAAAGATGTGGCAGTCTGCTTCCATAAAGATTTACAGCCTTGGAAACCCTATGGGGCAGCTCTACTCTGTCCTATAGGGTCACTGTGAGTTAGAATCAACTCGACAGCAATGGGTTTTTTTTTGGTTTGTATAGAGACAGAGACAGACGGACAGCAGACAGACTCACCCTGAGTGGTGGAAACGGCTAACATACTCGGCTTCTAACCAAAATGTTGGAGGTTTGAGTCCACCCAAAGTCACCTTGGAAGAAAGGCCTGGCAATCTACATCCAAAAAATCAGCCACTGAAAACCCTATGGGGCACTGTTGCACTCTGACACAAATGGGGTAGCCTGAGTCAGAATTGACGGCAACTGGTTTGTTGAAGATACACATATATAGACACACACACATATCCAGAACTTTTTTTTTAGGTGAAAATAATCAAATAGAAATTAAAAATGCAGTTGTACAAGGTTAATAAAACTTAATTTTAGATCTGTGACTAGTGAGAACTACAACTGAGTCATTCACTTCCTGATAAAATATGTAAGGAATTATGTCGCAATTTTATTTTAGATATCAATAAAGAACAAAACAAATTTCCTTGAACTTTATCTATCTACAGACAACAGCCTCATTTGATAAGACTAGAACTATGGGTGATTTTTGGCCAGTCTAAGCCAGCACTTCTGGTTGCAATGGTGAGATTGTTCTAGAACCACTGTACAAGTGTCCTCTGTTACCATTTCAATGAAAGCAACAGCACCAGGTCAGGTCAGCTAATACCAGATTCTGAGAGTAGAGCCTGCTCAGTGTGCCACATCTTACAACCGTAGCTCAGAGCAGAATGTAAGTCATAACCAGGCAATAACTGAGCAATCACCAGTTCTGCAGGCAAGCAGAAGACAGACTGGGCTGAGAGACATCTGAGCATTGCTGCTCCGGGAAGTCAGCAGGAGAGAAATGAAGGTCTGGAGTCAGTGTAATACAGTATTAATACAGTATTCACAAATGTTGGCCAAGTCCTAGGCCATGCTTTAATGCATCAGGATCACCTGGAGGACTTGTCAATTCCCAGACTGCCAGACCCCACCCTGAGCCTCTGATTCACCAGGCCTGGGGTGGGGCCCATCATCTGCATTTCTAACAAGTTCCCAGGAGATACTGATGCTGACAGCCCGGGACCCACACTGTAAGGGTCACCCTGTGAGAGCTCTTGTCTCAAAGCTGCAGCACGCAGGGCCAACAGGCTCTTACAGATTACACACACTAGGAAACAGGACCAGCTCATTTAGCCTCAGGGTCGAAGCTTACTCACCTGACCAAAGAGGAAAAGAAACTGAACCTGCCCCTTATACTGAAAGATCCACGACATGACTCCTAACTCATCTTCCTAAATCAGGGAGGGCTATACTTAATGATATAAATGTCTGCCAGGTAACAGTAAACTGAACCCAATATAATACGTTCCTACCAGAGGGGCAGGAACATAAGGCCTTAAACAAAAACATATAGAAAATAGCCTCATTAGAAGCATATTTTTATGTCAGTATTAAAAACAAACAGAAGCCTTTTATTATACTTACTACATTGTATATGCTTACCTGTTTTGAAATTAAAGTAGAATCTCTTTCTTTTGAATGTACAGATATGTTACAGTCATTGATAAAATTAAGTGCTTCTTCTAATTCCATCAGCAGTCTTTCATAAAGCCCACTTCTGTCAGTAAAAGGTCCACAATCCACCACAATTTCACACGGCTGAGAAGTGTATCTTGAGGATCAGAAACAAAAGCTGTCAGTACCTACCAATAGTGAAAATGCAACGGCTTTGATTTAAAAAAAAAAAAAAAACTGTTTTTCAAAAACAAGTACAAAAGAATACATACTAAGAAAACAGGCCAAAATGTTAGCAGTGGGCTGGGGTTTCAGGTGATTCTTGTAATGATTACCTTTCCATATCACTGAATTTCTCCACAGTAAACATATAACATTTTTTATAAACCAATAGGTATTATTTAAAAGGAAAGAGGAGAAGAGGGGAAGAAGAGAGGAGTAAGAACTGAGCACCCACTACATTCCAAGCATTACAAGGGAACTTTACATTCTCTCTCCTTTATTAAGGCTTCGAACTGGTTCCTTCTGGTTTGAACCACTGCTGAAAATTTGCATTTCTAACAAGTTCCCAGGCCATGCTAATGGTGCTGGTTAGGGATGAATTTTGAGAATCATTAGCAGATCAGAGGTTCTCAAAATTTATTATACATAAGAATCACCTGGGGATCTTTTTAAAATGTAGATTCTGATTCAGAATATCTGCGGGTGGAAATGCAAATTCTCAGCAGGGGTTCAAACCGGATGAATTGGTTGGAAGCCCTGGGTAGTAATTACTCCTCACTCAGGGAGGACTATGAAGGGCCAAGACAGTAAGTGATCTTGTCCAAGCCAAAACTCAGGACTGCCTTCCTCTGAAGGTTCTTTCAGCTAAACCACGCTGCCTCTTCCATTTCAACATCTACGCCAAAGAAGAAACTTCATATTTTCAGTTTGCATGCATGCTTGGGATAACAGGCAGGCTTTCAAGATGCCTTCCTAATGTGGTACCGACTTTTTACCTGTACTATGCTTGCCTAAGATAGGTCTCCAGGACTGACTGCCTAAGGCTGATATTCTGAAAATTTGGGGAACACATTTCATTATCGCCCCAGGTGTTTTGTTTTGAGGTTTGGTCTTCCATCTCTTGCTCCCTTGGGCATCAGCCAGAAGCAAGAACAGTGATGTTCAAAATATTCAAGAAACCCAACAATGATTATTTCTCAGAAGAAACTGGGATGGGAGGTAGACAACAGGGGAACAGTTTTATCACTAACTGTATCCCTTTCCATACTATTTGAATTTTATAGCATTTGCAAATGTTAATTTCATTTAAAATGTGTCCTCGCAAGGAAAGCTCTCTCCCATCTTTCTGTCATGTCTGATATCATTCCTTGGGTCTTTCATGCCTTCCATCACATATGACTACCAGAATGACATACAATATTCTAGAAGCACATATAATGATTTTAATTAAGGAAAAGAAATACAGTGATGACGTATTTAAATACTGTAGTCTTCCTTTTTCTTAACCCAAATCAGAATTTATGCTTAACCAACTCCTGTGTCTCTAACACATACTGTGACATCATGTTTCTGTAGATTGCTGAATTAATAATGTTGAGAATTCAGAAAACCTCTTTAATAAAACTAAAGTGAGAGTCCAGAAGAATACTCTTGAAAAACTCCTAACTCAATCCAAAGCAAACACACTAGTATTTAAAGCAACTATAACAAAGTTGAGATCGTCAGTAAATAATGAATTTGTACAAATTTAAAAAAAAACTGAAGCCCTATGCAAAAAAATAAGCACATGAATTTTACATAAATATTTTAAACTGTTTATTCTTACTAGTAATATGGAAATTTAATACATTTACCACCAAATTAGAAAAGATTCGTAAAATAATACTCAATCCTAGTACACATTTTCTGGAAATAAATTTGGCAATACCTATGAAGAGCCTGAGTATCTGGGTTTTCTGGAACAGAGGCCAATCAAGCTAAGAGTAGTCAAAAGAAACAATTCAGCACCAGGACTCACAGGTGAAAAACTGAGGAAATGCCAAATCCAATAAATGACTTATCAGTTGTACTTAAATGTCCTAATACCTCTGCTTCTCCTGAAGATTTCAAGTTGTGCAGGCCTAGCCATCTATTTCAGGTCAGATAAAAGCAAAAGTACAGGCTTGGACTTCTACATCAGGCTCAGAGAAGTCAGAAAAAGGATGTCCTGAAGGTCACAAGATCTGTATTCCATAAGGCATTGAGATACAGAAGTTTGATTAATCTAAAACGTTACTTTTCTTCTCACTCCACAAATACCAGGCACTTCGCAAGGTGCCAATGCAATTGTTCATCAAGGAATCACAGCAAACTATTGTCGGGGCCATTTTACAGGTTTAGGAGCAGTAAATTACTCACCTGTAGTCACGTAGTGTACAACTGGTAGAGCCAGTATTCAAACCCATGTCTGACTCAACTCTATCCCTTTGAGAAATTTAAAAAAAAAAAAAAAAAACCAACCCAAACCCATTGCCGTCGAGTCAATTCCGACTCATAGCAACTCTATAGGACAGAGTAGAACTGTCCCAAAGGGTCTCCAAGGAGCGGCTGGTGAATTCGAATTGCCGACCTTTTGGTTAGCAGCTGAGGTCTTTAACCACTGCGCCACCAGAGCTCCACCTGAGCACCTCTCTATTTATTACAACTGTCCTATTGACTACCACCTGGTAATCGTTAGCCTCAAGACTCTAAGAAAGATAGGAGGATATTTTTATATGAATTGAATGTAGTTGCTTCTGTTGTTGTTAGGTGCCAACGAGTGGGTTCCGACTCATAGTGACCCTATGTACAACAGAACAAAACACTGCCTGGTCCTGCGCCATCCTCGTGATCATTGTTATGCTTCGGCCCATTGTTGCAGCCACTGTGTCAATCCATCTCGTGGAAGGTCTTCCTCATTTTAGCTTTACTGAATGTAGTTAACACTTATTTAAAAACACACTTCCCTACTAATTTATACAGGCTCCCTTCTACCAACTTAGCAAATCAATAAGGTTGTGTGTGTGTGTTTTAATGAACCTCAAAACAGCAACTTTCTCAAAAAGAGACAAACCTAGATATCGTAAATAGCATGAGGAACCCACAACCTATTTTTGAAGCAACAGGGTGTTTCCAATTATTGTAAAGTATACTGTAAAACCCTGGATTCTCTCAATAAATCAATGTTCTTTCGAAGCATCACGCAGGACATTGAGGTCAGAACAACAAAGCAGAGACACTGACAGATAAAAACACAAATTTGCTGTCACGGTCCCCAGTCCTTGCCAGCATCAGCAGAGGAATGACTGCCCTTATCGCCCATAATCTCTTGAAGCAGAAGCACCCCCATTCGTTGCTCTCTGAAGCAAGGTGAGATTCCTGCATTTGCAGATTAACTGTCCTCAGAAAGAATTCTTAGTCTTGCTCATTCCTTTTAACAAACACTTAAACAGGTGCTATGTACAAGGCGCTGTGAAAGATACTGAAGGTTTGAAATTAGTTACAAGCCGTCTCCTTAATGCCTAGTCCCTCAGCAGCACATACCTGTCTAAGACCACCAAGTCAGTGGCAGTTTCAGCATTACTCTTAAGAATTTTCTCCAGTTTCTGAATCTTTTCCTCCAATTCCTCTGGATCACATTTCCCATTTAAAATGGAAGCAGTTAGTCCCAAAATGCGAGGACATGATGGACAATTTTCACAGAGCTAACATAACAAAAGATACTGACAGTAAGGACTCCATTTTTGTAAGGCCCTAACAAAATCAGACACTACCAGATTAAAGCATGTCAAAAATACTAAACAAAGACTAAAAACAATTTGTTTAGTACAAACAGCAATGTACCAAGGACCTCGTATTACTTATGAACTTACTATAGCATGTTTAAAGAATCTGTTTATCAAAAAGGCACATTTAAACATGCTATGACAATTATATGTAGTTCATTTGTTTATATTATGATGTTTAAAATTTATTGTACATGTAAATGAACATTAATTTAATATTCATTCATTCATACACTGGAATCAAGTTCCCCAAATTGATAACTCTTACTGCTTTTTGATATCTACAACACTGTATATACTCAGTAATGTGACCATGAACTACTAAGACCGATAAAATCTAAAACTTACCTTCATAATTTCTCGATAAGGGTGGTCTAGAATTGCAAGATGGCACTCATCAAACACCAAAAGGTTAATATCTGACAGTGATAAGTAACCACTTTTCAAAACATTCAAGGCGACATAGCAAGTCATAACCAGAACCTAAAATAAAACCAGCATCAGTATACAAACATGCCATTCACCTGCCCAGAGATACATCTATGAAATCAAATCATGGAACCATTGTTTGGTAAATGAGGATTAAGAAATTCAGTAGTTAAAATTAAGACAAAAATTCTAAGCATATAGAAGTTCATACACTGGAACCAAGAAGAATGATGATGAAAACATAGGAACAGATGACCAGATAAAATTCTCTATTATGAGGACCATGCCTTTATGATAAATCTACTAAATCTACTTCAGGCTTTCAGGTTCCTAGCACCATATTTTGACTGACGAGATACGTCAATTTAGTCAAATCTCAAAACAATTCACACTGATCTTTCTTTTTTTCACTGAACTGACAAGGTTTCCGGAAGAAAACAGACTAAACGTCCTTTTTACAGCTTACCACTCTGTGGACATGTAAGTGTTTTATTAATGAGGACTCAACCCACTACGTGAGCTGTACGAGAAGACTGTGGACTGCTGAAGGTTAGCAAGCCTCTCTCAACCACTCTGTACCCTCAACAGCAACCAAAGTGACTGATACAAAGGCCCTCAACACATGCTGGCTACATGGAAATGTCAGTTAGAGGAAATCTCCATCGAAAGCCCAAAGACCTCAACCAAGAAAGTGCTCAAGTTTCAAGACGTCTATTTCGAGAATAAATTTTCTGAAAGCAGGTTATCCGCAAGTTGGAAACTCGAAGTAGAAATCTTTGTTTCTCCAGCAAGTAAATCACACCGCAAAGCTGTTTCTTTTCTACACAGTAAGAGCAACAATAAATGAGTCACCTATTTGGTTTTAGGATGAGACTCTCAGTGAGAGACAGCACGGGGGCTAGTTTCTAGGCCGATAAAGCACAGGAAAGTAGAGATTTAAACCCAGCTCAGACAACCAAGGCTACAAGTCATTTTATAAACCAAGTCAAGGACTTGTAGGGATTTATAAACTGAAATTTCTCTACAAGTCTTACCTGGTGCTTAGTAAACTCTTGGTTCCATTTCTCTTTTGTCCAAGATGCACTTACTTCTAGGTTTGAGTACTCCCCAACCTTGAGATCTGAATGAGTTCTGACAGCTGACACTTGTTGAGCAACCTGGTTTGCTGATTACAAATATAACACTCGATGTAAATATGAGAAATCTTACCTAGTTGGCTCTCTGGATTAATAATGATTAAGACAGTTAAGTAAATCCTTGTTATATATACCTAACCACCAATTTCTTAAATAGCCAATTTGAAATCACAGTTTCAAGGTTATCCTCCAAAATGCACTCACTAGACTCACCATCCTGCCTTTGGTCATTCACGTCCGAGTAGAGCTTCAAATCACCTGTATACATTGAGACTCGTCTGTATACATAAGAATCACCTGCAGATCTTGTTAAAATGTAGATTTTGATTCAGTATATCTGGGGTGGAAATGGAAGTTCTCAGCAGGGGTCAGATCAGCCCTGTTTCTGAGAACCTTATTATCGCTCTCCTTCTTTACAGTCCATTTCTTCCAACCTAAGGATTTAACTTCCAGGCTGGAATGGCAACCACTCCAGAACCACTCCTCCTGTTTTCTTCAATAAAATCAGATTGTTTCACCAAGAAATAAAACAGTCTAATGGTGTACATATAAAGCACATGAGAACATCTCATAGTTATACTGAGACTGTCTGAACAAAGGAGGTGACAGTTATATTAGTACCCTATCAGCTGAGGTTCGCATTTTATACTTTTTGTTTTGATATATATTCCCAAACACAGAAAAATCATTATTTTCAACTCTTACTACATCTAATTTTTAAGAAGCATATTACTTTCTTTCTACAACTGGTTGAACAAAATCATAAATCAAAAAGTTACCCAGCTCATTATCAGGCACTTTTTGACATACTCTGTGAAGCTAAAACATCAACAACAAAAGTAATTCTAACAGCTTAGCTTCTAACAGTAATCCATTCAAAAGAAATGCAGAATCAGAATTAAATGCTATTACATTTAAGAGAAAAACTGAAGTATAAAACCTGAGAAATAAAATGGCTAACATTTAAGAGAAATAGTATAAAGTTAAGAAAAATAAAACAAAGCGATAAACTTCTATCAGAGCTTTAACAAGCCCATTATTTGTCAAACTCCCTTCACTTTCAATAATTTAATATCCATAGAGAAAATCTACTTAAACATAAAATCTCATCCAATCTCCACACAATTTGATAAAACAATCTGTTATTACCAGAGTTGACCAAGAACACCGTCCTTTTTCCATTTCTGTTGAAGTCTCCCCTGATCTGATAGGACAGCTCTTTAGTGAGTAATACTGCAATAAACGTCTTCCCTGAGCCAGTGTTTAAACAGACTACGGTATTATGGTCCAGAGCTGCTTCAAGCAGTTCAACCTGAAATACAGTGGGGAAAGAGATTACACACTTCTTACTAAAGTACAAAATTTAGAAAACTGCATTTTGTTTCAAACCAGGAAATGTCACTGCTTTCTAAAATCTTCCTTCAGTAAATTTACAAAAAAAAAAAAAAATACTTTCTACATCTTTATAGAATAATAATCATCAAAGGGGTTAAAATGCCTGTGCTGTGCAAACTTATGTTGAAATGGCATTCATTATTTCTGATCTTCATTTAAGAACTCTATTTTTGCAGAGATGGGCTAATTTTTGAGAATAATATGACTTAACTTACAGTAAGCATGGTTCTACCAGTTGGTTGGGTATTCTCAAACCAATCTCTATTCTTACCCACCTCAACAGGACAGATACACCTAACTGGGTATTAAGAAACAGTGAGGTTTTCATAGAAGAGAAAAAATTTGGAACTTCACAAATAAAACTATCAAATAAATTATCCAGCAGATGTTAGAAAAGAAAAGGACTATTAAGAACAAAAGTGTTTTGTAGGAGAAAATTAATCAGAAGAGGGAGGCTTGAAAGGGGAAATGAGTTTTATATAAGATGTGTCAACTATATGCTAATTTACTGTTTTAGTAAAAAAATGCTCCAGTATTAGCGTTATCATTAGTACCTGATATTTTCTTGGCGTATAAATGTTATCATGAATTGCTTCTTGTTGCCATGGCAGTCCAAAGAAAGGACCCATTGGTGAGGAAGCAGGGGTCATGAGCTGCAGGCCTGCCATGCTGAGGGGTTGCAAAGCAGGGCTTTTCATTCATCCAGTGTTTCTTTCATTGCATTTTTGTTCTAGCACAGCTTACTACAAAAGGGAAAAAGAACACCATTACACACCATGCAGGGTGAAAAACAAAAGCAAGCACAGAAACAAGAGAAACATCAGAATATCATTCCTATGAGTCTTTGCGAATGCTCCCTTTAATTACTGTAGCCTTTTCTTCATCTAATAGGATCATTTTAAAAGTCAAGCACTCTATACCCTTCAGCCCAGCAATTCTATACCTAGAAACATATTTACAAAGAAGTAATCAAGCAACTGCACAAAGACAGAAGAACATGAATACCTCCTGCTGCATTATTACTTAGAAACAGGAAATAACTTTAAAGTCAGCCAATAAAGAATGAGCTAAATAAAATATGACATAGTTATATAATGGGATACTATTAATCCATTAAAATTATCATGTGTATCTATATTTACTGACATAGAACTGCAACCATAGTAAATCTTTAAAAGAAAATATGTATAGTATGACATCTTTTTAAATATATACATGTATATATATAAAAACTGTAATTATGTGTGTGAATTTCGAACATTCTTTGTAAATTTGATGATGTTATTATTGACAAAATAAGTAATACATGGAAGGCACTTAGCATTGTGCCCGACCCAGAGGAAAGACTAAAATGCCTGCCATTATTATGTCATTATAGCAAAAGACCATAAACACACAAGGTCTATTTCTCAACTGACAACCTATCACAACTGTATGTCTGGCTGACCAACTACTGCAGTGTGCATCTTGAACATTACACATATCCTACGAAATTACAGCACGCCCTCCTGTGAAACGAAAATGGGTTTGCACCTGGGCACTCGTGTTATTTCATATATTCTTTTCCATAGATCAATCTGATTATGCAAAAGAACAAAATAAAACTTGAGTCTTCTTCAAAGTCCCAACCTGCAAATAGAAGGCTAGAGTTCCAAATCTCTGTGCAAAATCCCGTCACAGCTTTGTGACTGTCAGCATAATTTACTTGCCTGCAGAAGGGAATTTCACCCCCTGTACTGTTCTGGAGTCTTCACTGTTATACTCTATGAAACTGGAAAGAGAGAATTCAGCTCTTTGTTCCATAACAATCAAAACTTTTCAATCTCCTGACATGTTAAACTTGCAACCATGGTACAACACAGTGACGTAGGTGGTTGCATGGAATCCAACAAGAAGTCTTAAGTGCAGAGTCCCTTTTATGCACAGACATAACATCAAATTCTGGTTTCAGATATGAATCAGCGGACAAGGATTCAGCATCCAGCTCCTACAAAGTGCTCTCCCCAGCGTAAATGGTACAAGGGCTGAGGACCTCAGCAAGGTAAGCATGTCTGCAGATCAGAGAGCACAGTTCACTCTCATTATCTGACCCAGAGAAAGGTGTGGAAGCAAAGGATTAGAGTACAATCTGAAAAACTACCAAGTCATTCTTTTCCCTGGATGAAACGGAACTATGATCTTCAGAAATAATCTGCCCGTTTTCTACCGAGCCATAAACAGCCTCAACAGCCATTCCTTTTACCCCCTTTTCTAAATTCCTCAGGCCCTCAGGGTGCACACCTTCAAGGTCATCATTCAGGGCTTCTTCTCAATGCAACTGCCAAGAACCTTATGTGGAAGTCCATTTTATCTAATTTCCTAAAACCCAACAGGCCACTATGAAGGCCAGAGTCTAAGATTTTCAGGCACATTCACTGGCCTTCACACGCGGCTACCATCCTTGGGGACCCTCCAGACTTCCCCTTCGAGACTGTGGGCTGCTTACTCTCTAGCATTACTTTTCCTTCAGTCTGACCCCTCACCTTTCACCCAACCCAAACGCTAACCCAAGGCCTAAAACAGACACAGTGGAAGGTATCAGGAATCAGACTACATCCCAGTGGGGGGTAGGACGACAAAGGAAGGAGAAAAGAGGACAGCAATGTAAACCCTCCCACATCTTCCCTACCTCCAGAAACCACAGGCAGCCAGAAACTCTCCTGGCCACCACTGCCACTGATTCTTCCATACAGGTAATATTAATAATTAATAATGCCAGGGAAATTGTCTAAGAAATAAATGAGAGGATTACTCTATTTTTTAGAAGAGGGCAACTGTATTCTTCAAAAATACTTCATTCTTTTATGTATTCAGAGGCACACTTACAGCCAACTCTGTGGTGGTCTCTCACACAGCCACTTGCCACTTCTCCCACTGGGCAGCAGCTGTGCCATTTGACCTCCCGAACTCCAGCAGCAGCTCTGCTTAGTCTCAGCCAAACAGCCCCTCACTGAAGTCACCAGGGACCCAGTTTCTTATTTTCTGTATCCGCCAGCCACCCAGATCTAAGCCAATTGCTGCACGACCCTCCCTTGCCACAGGGTTTGGCTCGCACCAGTCCAACAGCACAAAGGCTGGGGCTTTTATTTGCTGGTTGAGAGAAGGGATTCTCTTTCCCTCTGAATATGGCTCAGAAAATCATCAACCCCAGAGACGTAAAAGACCTATACAATGAAAACTACAAGACACTACTGCAAGAAACCAAAAGAGACCTGCATAAGTGGAAAAACATACCTTGCTCATGGATAC